CTTTTCCCACTTACAGCTAGAATCCCTCATTGATAAAGTGGAGGGGCTGGTGAGGACATTATCCATACAGAAAGCATCTGCATAGATCATGGGTGTGAACAGAAAATTGGCACAATAGTGGGGGAACTGCACTATATCCAGAACAGGTATGCTCTTCACCCAGAACTTAATTCCTGTATCATGGGTAGAATTTTACATGAGTTATCATCACTATAAGCCACGCTCTAACCAGATAGCTGGGGTTCTACCACACAGGGTTGGAATTAAGGCCCCTATATATTCCACATTGGTGGCTAGGGCAATTGGACTGCAAATGTTGTTATATATATATATACACACACACACTTATGAGTAGATCCCAACATGCAGCCATAAAGTGATGCATTCTGAGCCACTGGAATCACGACAACAAAGTAAGCAACATTGAAGTGAACAAATCTTCTCCTCAACCTGAAGAAGTCCAAAACTCAACACCCCAGGCTGGGAATGATGAAATCATGTATGCCTTACTCAACCAAAGGAAACAGAACTCATCTGGTCTGGAATTATGAACACTCATCCTCACTCCCCAACAGTGTGAGAAAGGTACATCCCACTTACCCCCAGAATTATGGGGAGGACGTGGAACAACTTTGCTCAACCAACGACCCTGGATGAGACCACACTGCATTCAAAATTACAAGAGGACAGTGGACCCTCATCCATGAACAATGTACTGAAACAACATTGATCAAAAAGAAGGGCCCTGCACACCCCAACTGTATAGCTGAGCATCAAATCTGAAATGGTATTATGAGTAGGCTCCTACGTAGGCTGGTGCCACTCCTACCCACATCTGGGAAAAACATCCAGGGACCTAGTTAGGAGGGCCCCAACTTTGCCCTCTTCTCCAAGAGTGGAGAAAATTCACTCTAACGCTTTGGAGGAAAAAGCCTCTGTCCACAACCCCAGTGATTGGAAATTGGGTGTGGTAAGGACTCCCTGGCTCAAGTAGTAGAATATGGAAGGTAATGTGCATTGGGGGCCCTGAGGAACAGTGCTCTGGAAACAGTGAAATAGGTGAACCAAGTTAAATTTATTTTTAAAATGAAACCAGCCCTGATTTATTGAATTCAATGATAGGAAGGGAAGGGCAGGATTCCCTTATCCTTTACTCATGATAGTCCATGAGTGGCAGTCCAGCATAGTACAGTAGTACCAACCAGTCAACCTCAAGAGGCTTTACGGAACACATCATTTCTACAGAGCCTGTTGCAACCTGTATAAAATAAATTGAATTAGTGGTTGCTACTGCAGAATTGGTTTGATAAAAGCACACCTGGCTGGGCAACCCTCCCCACAGAGCGGGATCCTATGAAAACGAGATAAGGGTCCCTGAAAGGTAGCAATGAAATTACTCACCCCTCTGTATAATCTAGCAGAAATGGTTAAGATAGCTACAGGGAGCAGGCAAAAACCCTCAGATGAACAGACTGCCAGATCATGCAAATAATGAGAGATAAAAGTATTGGGGGGGGTCCACATACTAGTCTGCATAAGGACCTCCAACTGGCAATTCAACTGGTCCATTATAGACATAGATATGTGACAAATCTGATTAGATGTGACTCACAGAAGATGCCTCACCTTCAAAGAGATCCCAGAATAAAAAGTCGTTGCCTAACATCTCTAAAGGCATCAGTGCAGGCAAAAAAATCTTCAAGACCCTCACTGAAAATGACAATGAACGAAATCTGATCGAACATAGAAGTGAGAAATAGTGATCAGATGAATCGGTAATAATAATAATTTATCCCCTTCCCTGTCTGACACATGTCTTGAGTAAGAAGAACTGGTCTGAGGATGTAGAGAGAATAAGAATGTGGTCTGTGGACAAACAGTGCAAATCACACAGACCAGTAATGTCAGTAGGTCAGCAGCCACAAAAAATAAACCTTCAAATAAAGGGGATACATTGCATATAAGAGTCAGGTCACAAACAGGTGTTGAGAAAGAATGTGTAACGTAACTATAAAATACCTTTTATGTAACTGGAATGGTCATTTGGGACCAAGGACCCAAAGTGAATTGAGGAATCCAGAGAGGACTGGGGACTCAAAGAATACGTAGTCATGAGAATTGAATGGTAGTCGATAAGGCTGCCTTAAGAGAACCTGATTGGATTGAGATAACTGACCTACTACTGCATGCATCATCAGTGATACATGGGAAGCTAGTACGGTGATAAGATGGGAATAGTCCTTGGATCAAATGCCTCCTCGGTGAGAAATATAAGACACCACCATGGAATTGTCAGAGTGAAGCCTGATGATTTACCTCTTATTTAAACCCAAACCATGAGGCATTGCCTGTTGAAGACCAAAAAGGATGAAAACATTGTGTAGGGAATGCTCTTTGTCCATGCATAGAACCAGGAATTCCTGACTTTTGGTATATGCAACCCATTCCTGAAGCAAGGCTTTCATGAATGGATGAAACTCTGGATGAGGCAGCAGTAGTGGAACCTATATCATAGTAGTGTCCCAACTGAACAACCCCTTGAGATCGAAGAATGATCCTGACTAAGGAAACTGGGAAACCAGTCAATTGATATTTATGATCTCCTGGTCACATAAATACCATTAAAAGGATCTATCTCTTGTGCTCTCATCCCAAAGGCATGAGGGATATGAGTGATGACCACATTCCCAGAAGAGAAAAAAAAACATCCATGCAGTGGGAGAAGGAAAGGTTAGTAAGAGTTGGGAGATCTATTTAATAGCATTGAGCCAGATAGGAGACTGTTGAGCCCGACTAGAGAGGAGATGAAAAATAAAAAGTGCCCAGGCTGATGCCATATGGAATTGGAACAAGAATAGAAGTCTCAGCCCTAAAAATGAAGCCTGTCTTTGTTGTTTTTGAAATTAAAATCAGGATGTGATGGACTGACAAGTGACAAGATGTTTGCCAGCAGTAAACAGTCATCCATGTAACAGTGTGTGCAGAGTGTGATGGAATGGAGGTGATGAGGAAAAACTCGTATGATACACAGCAGAACCTTTGAGAAGCCGATGCAAGTTCGAAGGTAAAATCCCGGAAAAATAGCACCTAACCTTTGTGCACAACAAACATCAATAGTGATGGGACTCCACCACTATAACAATGTGCAGATAGGAGCCGACTACAACAAACTTGTACATTTACAATCTTAGTAAAAAATGTCAACTCAGATTGAGGAATGAGTAACTTGTGAACCTTGGAAAATCTAAACATCGATATAGATGAGGAAGATCAATGACTGAACATAAATCTCCTGTCTGCATAGGTCCAATAACCGACAGAAATAAAACCTCTGAAGAACTAGCACGACTCTCTCACTACCCCCAGACCACCCAAACTCTGATATCCCTAGAACTGAGTTCCAAATCCCAATGATCTGCAGGAGAAAGAAACCCTACAGGTTGGGCGGATAGTAGAGGTGAAGATGTGAATTGAATGACTAATCTTGACTCAAGAACCTGCAGTGCTCCTGGATCTGTGCTTAAGGTTACCACACATCTAAAAATTCTGAAAGCTGAACTCCCACAGACCCTGAAAGTATACAATAATCACCGACACCACTGGCAGAGATCTGGCTAAGCAGCAGAACCTTTGGATATAGACAAAATCTATTCTGGGTACCAAAGTACTGAGGGGTTGATGTCAGGGGTCAGGACCCACAAATAGGGGTGGAACTATGACTCCCTGTAGGAAGCAATGAAATGCTTGACTTCAACAGCAACAGGGAGGAACTAACTTATATGCTAACCATGGATCCAGCTTGTCATCAATGAAGTTGGTGATCCTGAGAGACCTCCAACAAACTGAAGTGAATGAAAAATAAAATGTTAAATTTTAGAGTTATAAGTCTGTAGACATACCTTGTTCCATTTGGGGAAATTGATATAATTAGGTTAAAGACAAACTTAGAACCCTGAAATTCAAGAAGCAGATGTATTATTTGAGTGTCAGAAAATGCTTCCACCTGGCAGTGGTAGGCTAAATCACAAAGTTCCAACAACATGTCAGGTAAGGCATAACTGCCCCTTCAAGTAACCGAGAATTAAATCTTCCAGCATGAGCCACAAAATCCGTGGATGGAGAGAAAACTAAAAATTCGCTCCCACACTTTTCAGCCCAAAACATCACACTCTTGATGAACCAACAGAAGAAAACAAATTAAAGACAGTTTATCCCAAAGTGATCTCCTGTTTGTTTTTGGTAGGTCATTTAAAGACTGTGTTGACTACCGTTGATTGGAACAACATTTTGTTAGATAAATTTGTTGTGTTAGAGCAAAGCAATGTTGGGCCATCTGGAACCATATGGAATTGAACCCTGGACCTCAGCACTGCAAATCCGCAAACTCACCACTGTCCCACAGTGAGCCTGAAAAGCCAACAGACTAAAAAATGTACAGGAAAAAATGAATCTAAATTCTCTCCAAAATGTCAAAGATCACCCTCAATTGCAGCCTCAGAGCCTCACCCCAAGAGAATCACCACAAAACCGAATATATGTCTCCATCTCACTACAAGTAGGATCACTGACAGTCTCAACAGAGAATGTATGTGGTGAAGAATGACTTCATTATATCATCCAAAATCAGTATTCTCAGTGCAAAATGGAACAGAATATAAAATTTAAATAATATTTTGTAAGTACCTTTTTCTTATAAAAATGTATTATATAGTTGTACTTTCATTAACATTTTTTGTTGCTTACATATGAAAATGACCTAACTTCTGTTTAAAAAACTGTAATCTCAGAAACAAAAATTTCTGTTACAAGTACAATCTTCAAAGCATCTTTTAGACATTCTTGGAATAATCAATTTCAGCATATATAAATAGTACATGTATTTGCATGACACATGCTAACAAATGAATACATATTTCCTAAGAAGTCTGGATGTTTCATTTACAACTATTGTATACAAGTACTTTTGTATTTCAGTGAAAAATTGAAAAATAGGGAAATACCTGAACTGCTCTTGTTAGTCCTTCTCTTAAAACATAATTAAATGATTCAACATGAGCTTTGCTGATACCTTGTAATACCTGCAAAAATACAAAACAGAATCATTAAAGTTGTGATATTTCAATTTTTTATATTGAAGAAAATTTATTCATATAATTAAAGATTCTTAGCAATCTGAACTGAAAGTAAATGTGAATCTATATAGTAATGTCTTTTGTAATTTTTATACTTTTAAATATGCATGATTTAAAGATTCAAAGCATGAAGTTCCATCCCACCTAAATTATATTGTCATAGTTTAATCTGTCGTGTGATTGCATAAATGTGTTTACTTTTTTTGTAATATTTCAGCTCCATCTATATGCCAGTTTCATGGTCTTATTAGAGATCATGAACAAGCTGAAGCTGCTTCTACATACCAAAGAAACAACCCTAATTGCACTTCAAGCACAAGTGATATACTAATGTTTTTATGCACATTAACGTGTGTGTTTATATACTGAATAAGTAGTTCCTTTAGGACAAAAATAAGTCTACTTTCCTCAAAAGTTGGAATGAATCTCTCTCGAAAAGCAACAAAACTTGATATCACAAAGCACATATACTCTATCTCTCTCTCTGTAGCTGACCAATCAGAAAACAGGCAACAGAATAGAAATATCTGCTTTATGTGACAGCCACAAAGTATCTCTCCAAACATAAGATCAAGAAGGACACAATGCAACTATCCCATGAAACAATAGATAAGTTCTTAATTGATAAAGCTACCAAAAGTAACATCTAATGCTGAAGTTTTGTACAAAATATCAACTGGATTGTTTCATAATTAGAATTCAAACAATATTTTAATAGTTTTTAGGTAAGAAATGCACACTATAGGAGAGTAAGATATGTAGTATTTGCATACTAGACTTCCAAAATTTGGTTTCATCTGCAAGCCTATTTCTATATAGATAAATTATTAATATATATGTACACATACACACACACATATATATATATATAAACAAAATTTCTAATATTTATTCAAAATCCTGATGTTCATTAAATTAAATGAAAAAGGTTATTAGTTCAAATGGATATGGTTTGATACTTTTTCGCTGAAAGCATCAAATCCGACTGACAGAATTTTGTTCTTTACATAGGTTTTAAGTTTATTATTACAAGTAATTTAGAAAGCTATTTAATTAAGAATTTCATCACAGTTTAAGAAAAGGTTTTCTTCTCTTATCAACTGCAATTTCTGAATAACTCTTTCATGGGCTCTTCAATACACACTAGGTACGAACAAGAAGTTTTGAGAGAGTGGAAGAATTAACTGAACATACACAGGGTTGATCCAGTGGATTTACCCTTTATTGAAGAAATAAGATTGATTTTTACTTCCAAATTTATAAAGTATATATATTCAAGAAATTTTACCAGCCTCTAGTCAACAGTGAAAGTCTGTTGTACCCAAAAAATCAAATATCTTTATGACCAAAACTTTTGTAACACATGTCTGTCAAATTCCAAAGTCAGTACGACCCAGACTCTGTCAAGTCAAAGTGCAAGGTGATGTTCATGTGAAAAAAGTATACTTTTGTCAATCATACAATTTACTCTAAACATAAACCATTGCAATATCAGCAATGTAGGGTAACATGAAATGTTGATAACACTGACATCAAATACATAATAACATTTTGAATAGTGTTCTGTACAAGGTTGGGGCATGCACACTTTAATCTCCACTTATGCACATAGTGTTGAATAAGTAATTATTATGCACATGTGGATCAAAAAATATACAAATACACTGGTTAGATTTGAAAAACAGAATTAAAGGTGGGCAAAATGAGGAAAGCTCACTGACCTTAAAAAATCTTTTTCTATATACAACTAAAACTCTGAGATTGTTTGTTTCTTTGTGTGTGAACTTGTCTGTAATTAAATACAGCAAAAATGGTGCACAATAGTGCCATTATTGTAATGAAATGAGAATATAAACAGAATAAAACAGGTTTCATTAAAATTGGCCCACAGGTTACAGAGTTAGTGCCATTTTTCGGGTCACTTTTCGTACATTCTATTATTATAAAACTTCGTTTTCCACCTGATGAATCATTTTAAAATATCTTCTATACAACAATATATGCATAACAGAAATTAAATGATGAGATGAAAATATGTTATAACGGCATGTAGAAAGAACAACAATAAAATGGACCTACAATATTATTGACTATTTGCAAATAGTAACTATGGAAATGAGATAATAAAATAAAAATCAAGTCAAGAACAACAACAAAATTTTATAAATGAAAATCTCTCGCTGAGCATTGGCTATTATATTATTTCCCTGTCCATGTTCCCATCTTCATTAAAAGGCATAAGAAGACAAAAACAAGATATTGAAGAATCTATTTATATACTATTAAAACTCTGAGATTGTTTGTTTGTTTGCTTATTTTCCAAGTCAAAAAATCATTCACACTACCGTTCGCA